CGTGAGTTTGAGACCGATTATATATAAATATATATATATATATATATATATATATATATATTTTTCAATGTTACGTAAAAAAAAGAATTTTTTTATAATAGTGTATAAAATGCTAAAATGACGAAAGAAAAAAAAAGGAATAACCGGTATACTACAAAAATAAAATTTAAAAACGTTAGACGGAAAAATGAAAAAATATTAAATTCAGAGTAAAAAAAATAATAAATGCAGTTTGAGTTTACCTAAGGTAAATTTCGAATTTTGTAAGGGAAGAGCATTTTTTGAATGAATTTAATTAATGAAGGATGTGAAGCAAATGTTTAGTTAGACTTGTCATTTAGTTCTAATAAATTTTGTCACGGAGGACCAATATCTTAAAGCCCCTAAAAAAAATTAACAGTACCATAAATTAGTGTACCATAATTCTTGTGGCATGAAGTTTTCTAATACCATAAATTAAATATATTTCACGCACATGATCCTAATTAAAGTTTGATATCACTATCAAATCCGCCAATACATAAAAAAATACAAAAATATTAATTGAAAAAAATACAATCATATAAAAATCCACCAGAAACGATGATCTAATTAAAGACCTAACTCATAATTAAGCTTTTTCTCAAACCTTTCCATTTTCCCCCACTCATAATCATTAATAAAATCTTCTACTTCCAGTGCGTATTCATGGATTCGGGATTTTGTTACCACGTGGGTAATTCTCATGTCCTGGCAGGGGTATTTTAGTAATAACCTCGTTCTCCTATCTTATTTTCGCGCCATGCCATGTCTTCTCCATTTCTTCTTTTCCAGCTCAAGACTCTCTCTCTCTCTCTCTCTCTCTTTTTCACACACACACAATAAACACACAACGTTTATGAGTATCAAGTCACATTAAATCATATATTCATACGCATTTACGAGCATAGATACGTCTAAATACGTAAATATTGAGCCTTGAGAGAGAAAGTGAATAAAGAGAGAGAGAGAGAGAGAGAGAGAGAGAGAGAGAGAGAGAGAGAGAGAGAGAGAGCGGTCTAAAAGCTAGAAAAAAATGGCGAGAAGATGGATGAAGTCATTGCAATGCAAGTCAAAAGCATTGGACGACGTCGTCGTTGACCATAACCATTCATTATTATTATTATCCCACTGCAAAAACCGCGTTCAGAGTCTCAAAGATGTAGTTGAAACCACCATACCATCAAAACCCAAACGGCCACAAACGCCGCCGTTTAAACGACCTGATTCAAAAAAAAACGAACCTGACCCGCACCAGCTGCCAACGATCCGAACCCGGTCCAGCAGCGCCGTTTCTTTGTTTCCTTCGCTCACGGAGCTTCCTCAAGGACACCCTTCGCGTAATGTGGTGGAGATAATCTTTCACACCAGCTGGGGGGACAAAAGTTTCTCCGGTCATGTTGAAATGGTGTTTAAGATCCAGAATCTGACCCGGACCCTGACCCGGTTCGAGGAGTACCGGGAAAGGGTCAAATCCAGATGGGTGATCTCCGCCGACACAGTGGACGGCGTTCAGGACCACGCGCGGTGTGTAGCCGACGGGAATGAGGTCATGAGATTCTACTGCCTCGGAGTCACATCAAGCAGCGGCGGCGCGTACGAGGTTGGCTGCGGCGCGTGGGCCAACTATGGTGGTGGCAAAGCTGGTGCGGCAATTTGTACATATTCGGGAAGTGGAGTTGCTCATGACAAAGCTGGCGGTGGAAGAGGAAGAGGGAGGTGGGCTATGCTTGTTTGCCGGGTCATAGCGGGTCGGGTTTGTGAGCAACTCGGATTTGGCTCGTTGGTAGATAATCGAGTTGGGTACGACTCAGTGAGTGTTGAAAATGGTACTGAGTTACATGTGTTTGACTCGCGTGCGTTATTGCCGTGTTTCCTCATCATCTACGAATTGTAAAGATACATGCGTTTGGACATTTATTATCTGTCCGGATTTTCTATAATTTTATATGTTATTTATTTTCCTAATTAATAGAATATTAAAAATTTTGCAACTTTGAATTCAAAACAAGGAGTGTCCATTTTCATTATTTATTATTTGTGGCAGTAAGAGAACACAGATCACAGATGTAGATAACATTTTTTTCTTAGAAACTCCTCTCAATATTTTCACATTTGAATTTCTTGACATCGATAAACGATACTTATATCATTGGTAGCAAAAAGTAAATAAATAAATAATTAACTATTCTGTAATTTCTGTAACAGAAATATTTTCAAGAATTGGCATTAATGGCGAAATAATAACAATAAATCATTTAATTCGCATTAATTTGTTAGGATGCATGCAACGGTATACAATGCTTCAAAGAAATATTCTCTCCTTATACAAACATTTGAAATTTCAGAATTTTCTGGAAACGGTTTTGAGAATAAAGGAAAAGGACCAGCGGACAGAAACTTTGTTGTTCTTATTTCATGTCAACAGCGCAATGAAAGTGACTGGAATATATATATATATATATATATATATATATATATATATATATATATATATATATATTACATGGAGGCAGTGGCGAGGCCAGAAAGTTTGGTGAGGGGAGCTTAAACACACTGGGGTTCGGGATGAATTTTTGCTACGAAAGAAATTTGAGATGAAAATTCGATATGAATTTTTTTTCCTTCACTTTCAGAAGATAATACCAAAACCGCGAAAGCTAAATTGGTATGAAAATTTAAGAAACATGAATATCAAGTCGATTATCAAATTGACACAGAGAAGTTGTCAAATGCTAAAACGATCGTCGGTGGATGGCAATTTAACCGCTATTAGTGTGACTGTGAGAGAAAACAATTTTTTTTTTCAAGAAACATAATGAACTTGAGAAATAGAAGATGAGAGCAAGTCATATATGAGGTGATGGAGGGCTTTGAGTAAGTGGTCTAAAAATAAGTGGACTTAAATAATATAATTAAATAGACTAAAAAATTAAATAGAATATATATATAAAATATAATTGAATAGACTAAAAGAAAAATAGGATATATATATATTCTATTTAATTTTTTAGTCAATTCAATTATATTATTTAAGCCCACTTATTTTTAGTCCACTTACTCAAAGACCCCATGGATATTCTATTTATGTTTTTAGCCTTAAATAGAAAATATATATATATATATATATA